CCAGAATACTGTTCAGTAATTAGGTCATATATGCAGTTGTAGATCTTGGATTTAGGTCTACTTTATATGGATGGAAAGGTAAGATATAGACCTACAACTTTCATATGGAGCCTAAGATTTAATAGGTTATTTTCAAGTCCAAATTATAGTAACAACGAAGAAGTCCGAATCTATCCTGCAGCCTGAATATTATTCAGTGTTTGGCCTATATCTGGAGTTCTAGAAGTCCAAATGACCTCTATTTTTTTTCTTGGAAAGCTGAGACAATTTTCTACAACTTTCATGTTTTCAAGTGGTTTCAATTCTGATGTTATCAATGACATTTTGGGCAAACAAGAGAAGATAAGGATTGTCACCAAGTCAAGAATTGGCCACCCACTCATCAATCAGTCATCAAATCAATAGTTTCTAATTTTGGTCCATAAAAGGATGCATTTGCCATGCATTTAGGCATCTTGGTTTCTAGATCAAGATCATGCTTTTGCTTTCTCTCTTTGTATTTTTGTAATGCTTAAGTTTTATTTTCATTAATATCTTGTTTATGTCTTTCATTTCTTTTCATTTACTTAGTTAGCTTTTATTTTATTTATGTTCTTATTTTGTTTATTTATTTTTCTTTTTCTTTTTATATTTAGTTAAGTTTATTATGTCAAGATGAAAATGTTATACTAATAGTGTAAGAATAAGTATAATAGAAACTTAACATGAACTTTAATATTTGATGCTAACATGTTTTATATTTGTTATTTTGTTCACTCTTTAATACTTTGCTTGTTAAATAATTAATCTAGATTTATGTTGTATAATACTTGGTACAATAAATGCTTAGCACTTTCATAGCCTATACTGTATGATATAACCGACACCTAAGTTATGAAAAGAACTTAATTTTTTGTTAACATAAGTTATAATCATAAATGTCTGATGAGATTTACAAGTATTAGCATTAATCGAATAAGATAACTAAGGTAATCATGTTAACAATTTATAATCTGATTGGAACCTCTTTTATGTGTGGTTTTCAATTGAATAATAAGAGTTTATACTATACTTGTTTGACATATCATTAGCAGATCCTCTAACCTTGATATTTATTGTTATCATTATTTAATCATTAAATTAATCTTTCATCTCAAAGTTCTCATCAACTTTTTTTTTTTTATTACTACTACTACTACTACTACTTTACTACTACTACTACTATTGTTATTATTGTTGTTGTTATTGTTATTGTTGTGTTATTGCTATCTATAATTTATACAATTAACCCTTTTGTGGTTCGACTCCAGTCTTGCCAGGTTATTTATTACTTTGACACTCTTGTACTTGAAAAAGAATATCAATTTTTTAGTCATGTCAACATTCAAATTAGTGGTTTTTTTATGTGTTCAAATAAACAAGACTAAAAGCTTTTCCACTAGCAAAATCATGTTTGTGATATTTATTATTGTTGATTAAATAAGAATAATTGTTTTTTTAGGGTTTTTTGAACTTTCATATTGATGTGTTGTCATTTATAAATTTTTGTGTTTTTAGTTACTTTGAGTAAAAAATAATCTATAAGCAAATGAATAAATTATATTAATAACAACAAAATAAATGAACAATGATTTTCAAAGTCTTGATTAATTTTTTTCTTCAAAACATGTTTATCGCTGGTGTTAGGATGAAACTCATCTGAGATTTGAATAGTGTTGCACAAGAAAAAACAACTATACTAAACCATGAAATCATGGGAGAACCCAATTACAAAAAACAGTTTTTTTATTTGATTTGGGTTTAGAAAGATATAGGAATTTACTTTTTAAAAAGAGAATATTGTCCGTTTATGATAAACAAGAAATGATTTATCATTGAAGTCGATTTTCAATATAATATATATGAGGATGCTTTAGTTATCTTGTTAGATTTAAACTTTTTTATCGGTCTAATTACTTGTTTAATTTTTTATATTAGTTTTTATGACTTTATTTTATTACAAAGGATTGATACTATTCATAATATTTTTATTATTTTGTTGTCCAATTCAATATGTGCTACGAATATCAATTAAAGCACTAAAATATTTATTTGTGATAATATTTTTAGTGAATAGACAAAAAAAAAGGTTCAATAGTTATCTTATAAATATTTTAAAAAACATTCGAAGATGGAATGTGTATTTACATAAAAAAACCACATAAATTATAAAGATCCAACCATGAAAAAAAAACTTATTTTAGCATAATATTTGATTTTATATTTTAGATGATTTTCTAAAAAAAAAACATATATTGATATTCTGTAAATCTAAACACACCTAGACTGAAACATGACTTGTCTGTATAAACAAACCTCTTTCCTTAATTCTCATTATTTTGGAATATCTTTTGCTTTTATAAAATAAAATAAAGGATATTGCTATTATTATTTAGCTTTTATGTTTAGTTTTAAAGATAAATTTTATGCTGCTCAAGATATAATTAGTAACATCTTATAAGTTTCAACTTAAACACATGAGCTAATATGCAACATTACCTCATATTTTTAACATGGATGATCATAAAATAAAAAAAAAGCTTATTATACGTAGTCAAATCTGAATTTAAAAAGAATATTCAAATAATCAAAGGAGATAAAAAAAAATATTAAAATACAATTTATTATGCTATTAAAAAAATATAATTATAACCAATAAACAATCAAGATCACCCATGTAAAAAAAAACTTTTTTTATAAAGAAAAAAGTTGCTAAAAAAAAGAATTATAAAAAACCTATGAATCAATCATATCCTTAAACTTCCATATAAGTTTACAACTTGATCTTGCGTTTACTTTATTGTAGAGAATGAGAGTGTATGAGTTTGTTAAGAAGATGAAGAGGAAGCTAGGGCTATGGGATGTATGCATGAATTCATTTCTTTTTGCATTTACAAGGGGTTTAAAATGAAGAAAACCTGTCTTTTGTGTATATACTAGACATAAGTCCAAGAATATGATCTATAGGGATTTTACAATTATGTTTTTTAAAGGTAATTTGTTTTTGGAAACTAGGATTTGTTTTATACGAGTGATCTTGGTTTGTTACTAATTATAATTACATTCTTTGGAAAGCATAATAAATTTCCATGATTTTCTTAATTTTTTTTCTTTTTTTAATCATTTTCTATATTAAAATTTGGCTGCTCATATTAAGCTTTCTTTTTTAATCATCTATATTTATACTATAGTTTTAAGACTCGGTCCAGTTTAAGGTTCGGGTTCTAGGTTTTGACTGAATTACTGAATTATTTTTTTAAAAAAATTAAAATAATATCATTTTAGTAAAAAATAAAAAAAAATCAATAAACTTGTAACCGAATCTTACTAGATCAACTAGATCATACTGAATTTTTTCTTCAATCTAATCTAGATTTAATCTTGAGTTAATTTATTAGTCTTGAATTTAAAAAGTGACGTAAACTATAATAAAATTTGATTAGCCAAATAAACTTCTTTATTCGTTAGTCAAAATTTAAAAAAATTATTTAACTATCCATATAAAGCCTTTCTTTTTTAATTATCCACGTCAAAACTAGAAAATAATTAGATGTATTAGTTAATGATATCAAACGGAAAATTATATGATGCTAATAATTATAGTCAAAACTAAAAAATAATGTGGTATATTAGTGAAAGAAGCCAAGCCATAACTTATAAAATACTTTTAATTATATGATGCTACCAATTATTTATATTATTATTTTTTTATATTATCCGATCAAAATTAGAATAAGATTTAACTACATGAATAAAAATTTGTTTTTTATACTTGACTTTTTATATAAAACTTTTTTTTATCTCCATATCAAAAACAAAAAACAATATGATATATTAATTAATAAAATCAACCTATAATATATAAGATAAGATGTTTACTAATTAAAGCTCATACTAAAATTTATGTGTTTTAAAAATCTATTTGTTTTAAAAATTTATTTTTTTATATTTTTTTATATTTTTAAATTGTTAATATTAAAAATAATTTTTTAAAAATAAAAATTATTATTTTAATATATTATAAAATAAAAAAACACTTTAAAACCGACTGCAATAATACCCAGGCTGGAAGACACCTGCCACTCTCGCAGCGAAATCTTTATATATCTCACTCTACGACAAAAGATAACATGCAGTGGCTTGACAAGTAAATTAATCATAAACTAAACCCATATTCATATAGCTCTCCTCCAGGATCTATACAAACTTCTCCTCCTCATCGTCCTCATCCTTCTCCTCCTCCTCCTCCAATTCACCTCACCATCTCCTTCTCTCTCTCTCTCTCTCTCTCTCACTCTCACAATGCAGCTTACTGTACTCCTTTCTCTACTTTTTCTCCTCTCCACCGCCACCACTATCACTTATGGCCACAACATTACTTCCATACTGGGCAAGCACCCATCTCTCTCCACTTTCAATCACTACCTCACCCTAACCCACCTCGCCGGAGAAATCAATCGGCGTACAACCATCACCGTCTGTGCCGTCGACAACGCAGCCATGTCTGAAATCCTTTCAAAAAAGCCATCAATCTCCACCATCAAAAACATCCTTTCCCTCCATGTCCTCTTGGATTACTTCGGTACCAAGAAGCTCCACCAGATAAGAGACGGCTCCGCGTTGGCAGCCACCATGTTCCAGGCCACCGGGTCAGCTCCTGGGTCTACCGGGTTCGTTAACATAACGGATGTTAAAGGAGGGAAAGTGGCTTTTGGACCGAAAGATAATGGAGGGAGCCTTGATGTGTTTTATGTCAAGTCTGTAGAGGAGATACCCTACAACATTTCAGTTATACAGATCAGTAAGTTGTTGCCATCGGATGTGGCGGCGGCGCCCACACCAGAGCCAAGTGCTATGAATATAACGGATATAATGTCAGCTCATGGGTGTAAGGTTTTTGCTGATACCTTGATTGCAAACCCTGATGCTTCAAAGACATATAAGGTACCCTATATTGCTTTTCAATTCCCTTTTTTTTTTTGTTTTGAGATCTAGCTGACTGCTTTTAAAGAGAGATTATTACTCAACTATGATTTAATATTCTTAATAATGAATACTATATATCTTTGTTGTGGAATAAAAAAGATATACTGATTTTTAGTTTTTAGGGTAATTGAAATTATAATAGGAAAAATCCGCATATATGCATTAATCTCAAATTAAATTCGAAGAAATTACTATAATGTTGTTTATTTCTATTTTATCAGGCAGAGCAATTGATTTGATTACTTAATTGGTGAATGGGATTCAATGAATTATAAATCGCTGCCTTTTCCTTTAGATCTTGGGTGTAAACAAAAGATATTGATGTTTAAATGTTTTCTTTGGAAAAACTAGATAGATTGGACCAATTCCTTTGTGATTTTAGATATTCTAGTTAGATATGGACTTGCTTGCAAGATATCATTTTAAAAATAAAATAAAAATCAAATTTTTACAAAAAAAAAAAGGCTCACGATCTGGGTTTTTTTCACAATCTATCTTTGAAAAACTTTGAATGATTGATTCGGAAGAACAGTTTATGTAGAAAATGCCTTGCAGAGGGAGCTATGACCCCAATAATTCAAAAAAGTAATCAATTAGGGCAAGTGAGATTCAACAACTCGCACGTGCAGATGGGCGACAAACTGTGACCGAACTGTAAACTTTTAAGTTTTGACTCTTCTTTGCTCTTTTCCAATGTTTCTTCTCAACATTCACTTTTATCTTCCTTTTTTTTTTTCAAGTGTTCTTGTTTTTTTATTAAAAAATGATTTTTTTTGTTTTAAATAATAATTATTTTAGTGGTTTTAGATTGTTTTGATATGCTAATATCAAAAATGAATTTTAAAACATAAATAAAAATTATTTTAATTTATTTTAAAGCAAACTTTAAAAAGTTCGAACAACTTTCCATCGAATTACTTGCATTGTTATTCTCTGTCTCAAGTTGAAAGCCATCAAATGTAATTGCAACATAGACTTGATTTCTTTTAGTTTATTTTTGCAAGGTTATTAGTAACAATTTTGAATGTCATGGGCCTCATGGCTATGTTTGGTTTCAGGACACTATTGATGGAGGATTAACAGTGTTTTGCCCTCTTGACGATCCATTTAAGGCCTTTTTACCAAAATTCAAGAATTTAACAGCTTCTGGCAAAGAGTCACTCCTTCAATTCTTCGGTGTTCCTGTTTATCAGTCATTAGCAATGTTAAAATCCAACAATGGAATCATGAACACCTTAGCTACAAATGGGGATAAGAAGTTTGATTTCACAGTGCAAAATGATGGCGAGGATGTGACCCTCAAGACAAGGGGTACCACTGCAAAAATAGTTGGGACTTTGATCGATGAGCAGCCTCTTGCTATATACTCCATTGATAAGGTCTTATTGCCCAAGGAATTGTTTAAAGCAGCACTGACCCCAGCTCCAGCACCTGCCCCGGTGGAGGCAGCAGATGCACCAAAATCTAGCAAGCATAAGAAGCCCGCCGCCGATGATGCACCATCAGACTCACCAGCTGATTCACCTGATGGCGACGCAGCAGACCAAGCAGCTGATGACAATGCTAGTGTGAGACTTGATGGTGGAAGAGTTGTTGCCATGGTATTGAGTTTGTGCTTAGGGCTTTTGCTGCTGTAGTACCGTGTAAGTTCTTTCAAATTGTTCCTTTTTCTACTCACAGTGGGGAATAAGCCCGGCTTCAATGGCTAAGTTATCACTTTAGAGTATGTTTCACTTGTTTTTTTCATGTCTTATTGTTTTAGCCTGTGTTATTTCTTTCTTTGTTGCTTTTTTGTATACGGTTTGTGATCTGTATTTTGTGGTAGATACTGTAGATCCATGGAAAAACGTTGTTATTTTCATCGACCAGAAGATTTTGGCGTAGTAAAATAGAATTCTTGTGTGCAAGTTTCGGTTCATGTTCTTGCCAAGACAATTTAGGTTTTATTAGAAAATTGTGACATCTTAACATTGTCATATTTCATCAGGCTGTTTTTCTGTTGGCATTGCGGCTCTTATTTTTTTGTTTATTTTTTTTTATATTTTTATATCATGATATGTTTATATTAAAAATAAATTTAAAAAAAATAAAAAAGTTATTTTTGTTGTATTTCTAAAAAAAAAAATACTAAAATAACTGTGAAAACAAATCACACTGTAAAAAGTAATTACAAACACTTTAAAAAATAATCCTCAGAACAATACTAAATACTATCTCAATATTAAATACTATCTAAATGCTTGTGTTGATATTTTTTATATTATAATATTTTATTTTCTCCCTTTTTAAGATTTTAGGACTGTTTATGCACGAGATGAACCAAAAAATTCTTAGCAATGATGTGAATTCGATCCCATGTTGGCTTGTGCTTTCCAATGAAGATCGACTCGGTTCTGATGTTGAAGTAGCAATCAGATGAAAGAACATTAAAATTAAGTTTCTGCTACGTGTCACCAATTTGTTTGTGTGCTGTCTTTGAAAAAAATTAATTATTTTTTGTCGAAAATTAATTTTTTTAATATAAAAATAAATTTTAAAAATAATAAAAATTTTATTTTAATACATTCAGTACCCATCAATCTCTCTCTCCCACTTCATACACACACACACACACTCGAGAAGTAAACATGTGAGAAAGTGAAGGACAATGCTCTACCCTTACTTTCATTTTTTATTTAGACCTTGTTTATTTGATTTTTATTTTTTATTTAGGTTTTTTTATATAAATTATTTTTAAAATTTTTCTATTATTTATTATTAAAAAATTTAATCAATAAAAAATATTTTTTAATCAGAAAAATTTAGAAATATTATATTATTTATTAAATATATTAAATTTTATTCTTAATTTTATATATATATATATATTTAATTTTTTTCAATTTCAATCTTTAAAATTTAATTTTTCTATTAATTTTAATCTTTATTTTTATAATTATTTTTTTTTTTTTTTTATTTTTAATTAAAATTTTTTATCTATTAAATTTAATCCTCATTCTTTTTATTGTTATTTATTTTATTTGAAATAATTTATAAAATAATTATTATTATTATTTTAATTTCTCTATCTTTTAATTTTTTTTATTTGTTAAATTTAATCCCTATTGTTTTAATTATTAAGATAATTTTAAAAATTATATAATTTTTTTAATTTCATTCTTGTAAATTTGTTCTTTATTATTTTAATAAACTTTAAAAAATTATTGTTAAGTTATTTTTTAATTTATTTTTCGTGATATAACTAAATACTGAAAAATATTTTTTTAACTTTTATTATATTACCAAATATCATAAAATAATTCACTTTTTTTTAATATTTATTTTTTTTTTTGAATTTTTTTTTTTAGCAAATATACAGAATATTAATGGCACTCCAAAAAAATCACCCATCAACCCATATGCAGATCATAATAGAAGGTAAGTGGTAGCAGATGGATCTGAGCAAGACTATATGCATGTCGGTACTCTTTCAGTATAATGAAACCTGAAACAAAACACGTAAACCTAGAACAAAATAGCAATGGATCTGAGCGAGACTATGACTGAAATGAGTTTAAAAGGCGAACATGACGTAGAACTGTTCTCTTGAGGTTGATATACATAAGGATAGGGAGGGGGTTGCTGGCAGCACTGAACTGGAACTGGTGGACAATTGGCCTGAGATGGTGGTGAAACGTAGCCAGCAAGTGGAGGCGGTGGAGTCCCATTTGAGGGATAATCTTTAACTGGTGGGGGAGGTGGCGGAGCGAGAGCTTGGCATGGATACGGACATCGCGTGCAAGTAGTGCAATCAGTCAAGACATCTTTGAAAACTTCTATTGTTTCTGCATAATCTAGATTGGAAACCGACAGCCACAGTGCTAGAAGTAAAGCAAAACTTATCTGCAACATATCTTTTGCCACTATAAACCCCATTTCCCAGTTCGATGAACTATAGGGTGTTAGAAATGTGGTGGTCCTCTACAAGAAATGAAAAAAGCTCGCCAGCTCTGCTGCGACTTGTAACCACAAGCTATCTAATGTAGTTTGGATTTTTCACCTTTTTCTTCAGTCATCCGGTTTTTGTGCTGCATGGCAGGCCACCTGTCATGTTTCGGTAGAGGCGGTCCGCAAATGTAACCTATTTGCACAAATCCACTGGGATAGACAAAAGGAGGGGATGCAGTCACAAATGGAGCATCTCCCCGTTCAAAGTAAATGTTGAAAAACCGTTCTAGATATTATACCCATTCAAATGGCTATGGCTAGATATTATAATTGCAATATAATTCATATATAAAAATACTACTTCCAGCAAATTGTTCTCCCGTAATGATGAGTCATAAAAATTTGGCACTTTTATATATATATAAACAAAAGGGTGGCACTTTTATGACTCATCATTACGGGAGAACAATTTGCTATATATATATACATATATATGAAAACAAAAGTTTGGCACTTTTATGACTCACGGGAGAACAATTTGCTGTAAGTGGTATTTTTATATATGAATTATATTTATGAAAACAAAAGGTTGGCACTTTTATGAGAACAACTTGCTGTAAGTGGTAAAATGCTATCAGATACAGTTACTGCAAAATATTGCAAGAGCACATGGGTGTTAAGAGCCAGTGCGGCAAAATACAATTTTAGTCTGCTTCACGCCATTACAACATTTGGCACCTCCAAGGGCAATGATCGATGAAGCATGCCACGGAACCATCCCCAGTGCACTAGATAACAAGCTTACCTTCAGGAATTGCTCTTTGTGGCAAGCTTTGAATAAAGAGGATCTATTCAGGCAGCAACTCCTACAGATTTCCCATCCAGTAGTGTCTGCATTTTCAGGATATTTTCTTCCATGCACAATCGCTATTTATATATGAATTTGTGAGTTGAAGGAATGCACCTTCACTTACTAAAGTCATGGAAGAGGACAGTGGAGATGTAAATAAATGAATTTGGTTACACAGCAAATAGACAACATAAGCTTGCTTTCTATTGGCGATCAGCAGAACTTGACTGGTTCAAATCTCTGACGTTTGAATATAAGTAACTTATCTGGTCATTACGTGTTGATCTTAATGGTTGTGGAGAAAATCCAATGTAATCCCGGTCTACCTTTGCCAAGCATAAATCAATGATATAGGTGAAAAGCTCATGGTTCTGGGCTACAGGTTGAGCTGCATACTCCTCAAATGGCATCCACTGGGGAGAAAAATGGCAACCACGTGAGGAAATTTAATCAGCTATCGCATCCTTCAATCCTACGGTCAGTTTCTTCAAGCAAAAAACGTGATAAAGAACAAAAACAGAACAGAACGCAAGAAGCATGCATCAGTTAACTGCATGGTGTATGTATACAGAGTGACAGAAGATTACGCCCCAGTTCTGAATTTTCTTAGGGGAAGATAAATGTTGAGTCTGTCATATGGCCCTTAAGTAAACTAAGATGAAGAGCAAACAGGCAAAACCATTTGACTCAATTTGTTATTTCTTAAACCTTTCAAGGATCTTCTTGTTTAGAAGAAAAGGCAGGACTTAAACATCAAAGATGAAGAACAAATGGCAGATCTTAACACCAAAACATGCTATGTATTGATTGTATTGGGCGCATGGAGTACTGCTTTCTCTCTCTTCCAAATTTATTATTTTGAATATAACAGATTGACTCAGAGACAAAGCGAAGCAAATAGACTGCATGAGTTTGCCTTTGTTTTACTTTACAGACCAGTTTAAGGAAAGCAATAATACTAGAAACGAGAATGTTGAAAGTTAGAACGTTGTTATGTATCAGGTGTTGCC